ATAAAGAAATACAAATATAATTTTAAATAAACCTTTGAGGTTTATATGGGAAGTCACCAAGTCTACCTAATGGCAAAAAGACACCATGGTATTTTTAATATCTCACAAAAGACTCATAGTTTTAAATAAGTATTACAAAAAAATAATTAATGAAAAGCATGATAGGTATATCTAATATATTTTTTGATTTTATTATTGTTTTAATTGATAGTTATTTTTAATATGTATAAGTAAAATATTATTTTTAACTCTTTTTTGCTCAACTTCTAAATATATGGAGGATAGGCTTGAGCATGAGTTCATTTTATTGATTGCTACTGAATTGTAGGAACTTCTAATGACTCTCAGAGAATATGTGTTGCCAAACCCAAGATATATTAAAAATCAAAAGATCTCACTTATTCGTAAATTTCAAGTATGACATAGAGGGCGACTATGTTTTCAATGGATGCTTTAAAAATAAAGTTGTCATGGAGCCACAATTATGTATGTGCATAACCTCACCTTCATTCATATAATACATATCCACAATATTATTATTTTTATATTTTAAATTAGTGGAAGATGTTAGAATAATTATCCTTGCATCATTCTTTTTTATAACTACCCAATAAGAAAAAAAATTGTTCTATAATAAATTTTTATTGGAGAAACTAATATAATTATTATGTTGCACTAAAATGATATATCACCACTAGATTTAACCTATATTGTCTCTCATATGCTTTTGTAATTTTGTATACAACAAGTATAGGGTTTTTTAGACAGATATTTTATTGGATTATCAATCTCTTATTCCGTTTCTAATTAAATATCCAATCAAGATGATTATTTGATCTTCATATATTTCCCTATTGAATAAAAGTATTGGCATTTTATTCACCTTAAAAAAATTACTCATACTATATATTCAAATAAAATCATCTCAAAATCAATCCATGTTAAAACATGATTTAAACCATGTTTATACATTACTTAAATAGCATTTGAATAAGGTTTGAAGAATGTTCAACCTTGGTTTTAGGTTGTTTCAACCTAATTCAAAGGTCATTCAAAACATGCACAAATAAGGTTTTCAAATTATTAAAAAAAAATTAAGTTATATTAAAATATAGTTTGTAAAATATTCCAATGACTTTTAAATTAGGTTCAAACTTAAAATGTGCTCGTTTTACACATTGATCAAATCTTAATTAAATTTATAGCTTCTTTTCTCAACCTACTTCTATGTTAATTATATCAAAATAACTTTAATTTGACTACTCAAATCTTGCACACAACATGTGAATGATTAGACTATCATTTGAATCATGTGCTACAATATTATTCAAATATTAAATTAACTTTCTTATGATTGTCAAAGTCGAAATAATACTACTTTGTTGGATGAGCATCACAATCATATTCATCTTCTCATATTGTAAGTAAGATGAAATCTCAAACAAAAGGACATTGAACTTAACAAGAGTGAATGCACATAAGTGTTTGAAGGAGTTGTGAAAGTTGTTGCTCAATATTTTTAGTACGATAGAGTTTGATGAGAATGTACGTATAGTAATGGAATTTATGCCCACAATACAACTCTAATCATATTTCTCTAAACCAAAAATATAGGAGGTATTTTTATCCCAATATAATTACTATTAGATGTATAAATTTTTTTTTTCTTTTATGTAAATCTGCTAGTGCTCACGCGCACACGCACACACTTGATGCATATATGGAATATGACATAAATGTAGTTATGTGGTGGTTGATGATATAAATATATTTATACACTCACAAACAAATGATCAATTGCATATATAGAATCATGTATATAATTATCTTTTGATAGAATAATCACGATGGTAGAGAAAAACAGTTTATTATCTTAGCATTATGTAAAAATTTTAAAAGATATATAAATAAGATGAATTGAGATAATACTATATGAGACATGAGTTTTTTTATATGCAGGATGGGAAATACCATGGAGCTTGAACCAACTTGTAAAAGTTTGGAGAGGTATTATGATTAAGTCACAAGAAGGATTTTATTATAGAATGTGAAGCTTTATCTACAAGCACCTAAATTCCTCTATCGCTACTAAGGCTAACATTGATGTCAATGATAGCCACCAAGAATGATTTTTATCAAATAAATCAAAATAATGGTCGTGTTCATTGCTATTGGTGATGCTCACATTTGCCATCAAAGATGAATTAACACTAACAACAACTCTCATCATCACTAAAAAAGATTATATTTGATGTGAACATTAATGTTGATACCAATTATTATCAATAAGATTGATGCCCACCATGGAAGCCAATATTGACATTGATCGTCATTAAGAACATTAATATTTCTCAATGACTAACATTGACATCTATCATCATCAAACATCATTGTTTAATGCGGCTAGCAATCTAGATGCCCAAAATTAATATCATTTCTAATACTTCATGCCAACAATAATATTAATGCATAATCTTGACATCAATGTTTATGCTCGTCATCAATACCAATGTTGACATCCATCATAAGAATCGATACCATTGCTCATACCTGTCAAGATTGATATTTAGCATCAATACCAACATTGATGTTATCGTCACCATCATATCAATACTTGTGTCAACAGTAATAGTAACTCCTATTATCTCTGCAACGGTTGATGCTCCTCTTAGTCTCTCAATTATTTTTTTCATATTCGGAATGATTATGTAAATTGTTAATGATTTTTTTGTGACATCTTCAAGATCCCTAGGTTCCCTCTATTTATGCCATAAAAGTCAAATTTCATAGTTTATATTTACTATACTATATCGATATGTTTTTCAATCAAACAAAAGAGCATCATTTATAACATCTTACTCATAGTTTATGTTTATTATAATGTTTGGAAGTTCATCCACCATTTTTTAATACTTGACTCTCAGGCCAATGCCAAATTCAATGAATTTTAAGTCAGTGTGATAAGTTTCTCTAGATGAAAAAGAAGTGATGCCAAACTTTCTTGAATTCATATATCATAAAAATTTGAGGTTGTTGCTAGTAGAATTATGCATGCTATTGTTTTTTTTTTTGGAGAGATGAAAGAAACAAAGATGGGTCATGCTAGCTTAATGTGATTATGGAAACATTTTTATAGAAGATTATCTCATGAGATGTGCTCTACGGCCCCCTTTTTCATATTACACTTTTTAAGCTATTTAGTTATACTTTGGCAAAATTATTAATTATTAATAAATTTTAAAAAAATATTTGAGTCATCTAAAAAATATTAAGATGTTATAAAATAAAACTTAAAGTTATTTTGAGAGTTTATCTATGTGCGAGTTTTTAATATTTTTTATTTTATTATTGATATGTCTCCAGAAATCTTTATCATCTGACACAAATCTCGAGATAATTTGTTAAACAAGAAACATTCTGAATTGAATTATGAGTCATCCAGAACCCCGATTTCAACAAACTTATGTCAAACTGACTGACTCGATGAAACAGACCTAATGATATCAACGTTAGTTGAATTCAAATCAAATCAAACCCATATCAAGTCATTAAACCACCATTGAAAGATTTCCATACACATTTGGAATCTCGATTGGATGTCGAATCTGGCCATTTCATAGTCGAATCGAGTGTCTATATAAGAGGAATCTAATGAGCTCAAGATTGCTGCATTCTGACATTGTTAATACATCCAAATGTCGATCAAACGCTATGTAATTGAAGGAAGTTCTCTGGGCCATTCAATCAAAATAGTTCAAACTTCAGCATTAATTGCACCTAGAACATTATAAATAGAACCTTACCTCTTTTATGAGGGGGATCTTGAGCTTTGAGAGAATTTGAGGCTTTAAGAAAGAGCTGAAGTCTAGCACTATCCTTACCATCTTCAATCGTCATCGGCAATCGTCGACCACTGCCGATCGCCGTTGACCACCCCCAACCTCCATCGACCACCACCGATCACGATCGACAACCACCAACCACCGTCGAGCACTGCTGTCGCCGTTAACCACCACCGCCCCGTCGACCATCACTAACCTCCGTCGATCACAACGAATCGTCGTTGACCACAACCAATTAGATTTCATTAGTCAACATTTTAACTTGGAAAATTTAACAACAATTTCCTGGCTATGAGAGGAGTTTCTGTAATCATTACAGCTCGCCCAGTCCCCGTAGTTTTTTTCCTTTTAAGAGTTTTTCACGCAAAAAAACTTTTGGTGTCATTACTTGTTGCATTCTTTCACCTAAGTGTGTGTTGAATTCTTGTTCAACACTAAGACGATAATCCATTACTCTATTGCTACAAATTTTCTAGCACGCATCATTATTTAATTTAAAATAATAAATTTTTTTTTCTATATTTAGGATATTTAATGGAATATTGTTAACATTTGTAAATCATACATGCTAAATTATTATATTCTTTAGTTATATTATCTAAGAGTAATATTTTAAATTATTTTTGAAATAGATTTTCTATCAAGATAATATATAAAGCACTGACGAGCGGCTATTATTCGAGCCTCTAGTCACCAATAGTGTGCCAAACAATTCAAGTATCACATTCTTAAGGTCTGTGTCAAAGGAGATTTAAACTCCCGATTTGAGGGGTCTTATAGCGTGAATGCCAACAACAGGTCGGGATACCCAACACATACATACATATATAATTATTGTGTACACACACACACAAATAGATACATAAATAAATAAATAAATAAATAAAAATATATATATATATATATATATATATATATATATA